TTTTTTTTTTTTTTTTTTTTTTTTAAGGATTAACCGTTGAGGAGATATTAGCATTAGCAAAAATCTGATGATGGATTTTCTCAATTTTTAAAATTCAAGATGGCAGCGATCTGAGTATCAGACAATTTTCCAGAGTGTAATGCAGGCAGTTTCGGACTTTTTTAGCACCCTGCAAAACTTTGGTTTGGTTCGAAGGGCAAAATATGAGCAAAAAATTGTTATGCATTGTTATTTTTCGGAACACAGAGTGAAGATGAGCAAATTACCTTGCAATAGCTGATGCCTGCAAATTTATTTTTATACCGATAGTTTGATAAATGATATCCATTATATGTATAATGGGATTTATATGTTGGGATGCACATCCTATTTTATTTTTGAGTGCTGTCTTAGATATGGATAGCTCAAATACTCATGATCCCTCCATTTATCAATCTATTGATATCACTCTTGATTTAAAGCAGACAGTGAATAATTAGCAGTAAAACTGTTAGATTCTTGTGGAGGATCAATGCTTCACGTGTACAGCTCTTCTTTAGAAGAGCCAACAGAAGAAGCCAACAGGTTTTAACCTATTGACTTCCACTTTGTGGTAGTCACGATTTTTAAAGCTCACGCAATGATGATTAACCAAAATATCTCTCGCATTTTTAAGTAGCAACAAACAGGAATATTGAATAGTGTGGACACTTCATAGTCATTCACAAGCAAAAATAAGTTTTTAGACATTTTCTCGTATCATTAATATAACCTCGTCATGATTTCACAGATGGACCAATGTTAACAGAAAAAATAGAGTGCTTGGCCTACTACTCTGTGCCTTCAATTTGTACCTCTGACCATAAGCCAGTTTGGGGTCTCTATAAATGTCTGATTCGACCTGGAATAGATACGTTAGTATTTTTCAGAATATCAATTAATTTTGCCTCTGCTTTACCTATTCATTATTTAGCTTAATCATGACCCTTCCTCTTCAGGTGCCTCCACATCTCTACAGCTTTTCATTATTGGATTCTCTTACTTTCTCATGGTATATCTGCATCCTTCGGAGAATCCATTCAAGAAATCTGTGAACAATTCACATGAATGAACAAGACGAACACCAATTAAAAAAATGATCTCTCCTTAAAATGATATTTTTCATTTGAAGTGAGTCTTTGCCCATGGGCCCATGTGCTGACTTGCAGTAAAATAATATAATGGGTGAAAATAGAATATGATTTCATACAATTTTTTTTTTATTTTCTAATTTATTTCACTGAGCAATCTACCATTTTTTCTCTATGAAAAGTGATTATTTAAGGACTGGGTCAATAAGAGATTTTAGTTTTTTCTTCCCTAACATTCTTTTGTACTCTGATTGCATCAACTGAGACACAAAGGGAGTAAGATGGGACACTGGGCTCAAAAGAATCCTCACTCCTCATTTTGCAAAAGAACAGTGGCCAAATATAGAGGAATCTGAGTTGGATACAACTCAATACTCTACTACTCTAACTAGCGCCGCAACTCTCAGCATTTTCCATGGGGAAACAGTGCTATTTTATCCGAAAACCTCAAATTTCAACCTGTGTCACTTAAGTCATTCGAGCACCGGGTAAAAATTGTTTTTAATTTTTTTCCTTGCACAAGGCTTCTAATCTATTCACGCATCAACTTTTAAGACGAGGGCGTCCTTCGAATTCGAAAATTCAAAAAATAAGAAACACCCTAGGGAGGGCATTAATCGGAATGAGTTTCAGTTCATTTCAATGAGGCACTGCTCATTCACCTTACACAGCCCTCTTCAATTTTGCTCTCCCTTTTCAATGATTGGCATTTTCTTTTTTTGATTTCCTAACGTTTTAATATATGGCATCAATAATTTCAAAGAGATATTTCAGGTAGTGTTCGGTGAAAGAAATCAATTGTAATAAAAGATTGTGAAGTCCGTTTTTTGACTTATGCTGTTATGATATTGTTCCTACTCTCCATGTAACAACAAATTGAAAATTCGGCACTGACGTATTATGTATAAAAGTTCCAGCATAAACCGAAGATCAAATCTCTGGTATCTATGAAACTATGAAATCTGTGAACTATGAACTTTGAAATTTCAAAAAATTTGAAACCTAATTCCCCTCAGGTAATCCACCCCAATGCAAACTAAAGACAAAATCGGAGGGGCTGCTTTGTGAATTCCTCTTGACAGTATATTTATAATGTTCATAAAATGAGTCAAATGAGAAAAAAAATAAAAAACGCCCTAAGAAGTGGCCTGTAACTGTATGTAACAAGGTGGAGAAAATGTAGTAAAAGGTGGAATTTCTTGGGTCTTTTTTCCCCGCGAAATGGTGTGGACCCAGCACCATCACTCCACCTTGAACTGAGTCAATATACATCATTAAAAATACCCATCACCAAGAAAAGCCTATTCAAATACTAATGGGTTCTATTCATTTGTCTTATCAGCATTCCTCTCGCAGCTGGCCTTTTCAACCGTGATGTTTACCTGGAGGCAGTCAAACGGCGAGCTACTGCTATCAGCAAATGTGATGGGTCCTCTACTGTCTGTTCAATTCAGTAAGGATGACATTGCGAAATGTTCGCAAATTTGTATTTTTTTTTAGTAGAGACAATCCTCCTTTTCCTGTAGGTTTCCCCGAGCATTCCTTAGTATCCGTCCATCTTTATCTTTTAAGTTTTCGTTTTTATAAGTATTGCATATTATGTCTTTCAGAAAGCAGCTGAAGTAAAATAACAGTACTCTGTACTCTTTTTACCAAGTGTTGAATGTTCGTGCCTGTCTCTGTTATACGTTTTTTATTTCAACTTGGCATTTTTTGGAAATTGAAAGAATTTAGTTGTGTCTAAACAAAATCAGGGGCAGAGTTTCCCATTTACGACCCATAAATCCCCTGAATTTTGCTACCTCTTTTTCATCAAGAGCAGATTCACAATTCCGCTTCTTGAGACTAATAGAAATGTGTTACTACTAAATTTTGAAAGCAATGACCTTTTGTTTTTTGATTTGCATGGTTTTAGTAAGTGGTATAAGAATATGAAAAAGCAAAACGGAGACATCACTTCAATGATCCGCCATCATGTCCGGTGATTTGGCCGTTCCCCAAAATTTACTGTCATAGGCTGCTGCCCATGTAGCCTAAACCCAATGCCTAAATCTGCCCCTGAACTAAACACTTGTCTGTTTTAGTGTGAACTTAATTCTTCCAGATTCATTTTTGTTCCATTTTAAGATTTGTGATGACAGTGTTTGTATGTAAAAGCAGCAAGGTTTTCTGCCATTTGTTTGCCAAATGAAATTTCTCAACAAAAGTTTTTTGTGCAGTGATTGCCCTAAAATCTTAGTCCCTCTCTTTTTTTTTCATGATATGAGGAACAATAAATATGAATTAACTGCATGAAAGCTTATCTTGTGTCAAGTTACGTCATTCTCAAATGCTATGTCTAAATTTTATTTGAATGTTCTATATAAAAACTGACAACTCTGCAAACTCACAAACTTTGTTGGTTTTCCAATTACTTTCCTAGAAAGATGTGGTGTCAAATGACACAAATTTGAAGAATATTCATGCACACATAGCGTGAGGCTCAGAGAATAATCAAATATACTGAGGTACTTGCCAGTATTTGCACTAAACACGCACAGGAAGATTTTGCTGAGAACATACAATTTTTTTATTTCATAGTTTAACAGCAAACGTAAATTCCATTAAACGAGGGCTGCAATATTTTTTACTTATCTAGGTAGATTAGTAGGTGCCACTGAATCGCCTTCCTTAGCGAAACAAATCGTCTGCTGTAGATATTTTCCACTTTATTTACTCAGAAGTTCTCTTTTCCCCCCACAATTTTAAGATCTGTAAAGTGCTCAAATCATGGGTAATTAAAAAGCTTCAATACCAAGAGTCATTCAGAAGAAAGCTTCTTTACTCCCCTGTGTTATTGCAATTAATATATGAGAAGCAGTTTTTTTTAGAGTTGTCAGATTTTCTTTTTTTTTTAAATTGATGTTTTTGTATTTTTCAATGTATCTAAACGTTTGTCGCACAAGATGTCTTTAATATCTCTACAGAAACACGTTTACAAGTGACGGTTTTCAAGAGAGCATTACCGCGGAGGGAAATAAATTCTGCTTTAAGTCAACCAAATTTTCTTTATTACTTTCCAAGCCAAAGATAAAATTGTTTAATCATTGTCGTTGATAAAGTGCCTTTTATTCCTAGCTACACTAGCTCTGTCATTCCCCTTATAGGTATAAGGTATCACCAAAAATACTGAAATCCCCTCTGTTTTAATTTAAAATTCATGAGAAAAATTCATTTTTACTTCTGCTTTTTCAAAGTTACCAAAAAGTCTTAAAGGATTACTTTTTTGAATCAGCAGCTGCGTTACCAGTCTTTCAGGTAATTTTAAGATATTTCAGTCTTTAAGGTATTTTATCTTCATTACTCATGAAAATTAGTAAGTCTCTTGGACTGTTGTAAATAATGGACTACATTTTTATTTTAGTCATTTGTAATTCTAATGATTATTTTGTTGATCAACTGTAATTTCATGCGCACTGTTTCTTTTATGGTAAAATTTTTAATCATTTCTCAATTGTTCTCCAAAATTCTTGAACCCATGGCTATAAACGATTATGCCAGCAGACGGTAAAACACTGAAAGTCTCTTATAAGGGCTGGCTCTAACACCTCTAGTCGAAGTTGCCTGACATGTAGTCAAGGATTTTGTGTTTATCCTCTTGACAAAAAAGAATCCATTCCTCCACTGTTTGTCAGGCACATTTATCCTCTGGTTAAATTTATTTTGAAATCCTGCCAACTGTGGGTGCATCACCCCATAAATTTCAATATGCCCCATGCAAAAGTCCGCCGCAAACAATCTTTGCAGGGTGTCATGATATATCACAGGCAATTCTTGAGGAGGAGATTCACAAGGAAAACAAGGAATTGATTGAGGAGCACTTACAGTTCATTATGGCTTTAGCCAATCAAAGACTAGTGATTTTTTAACCTCTGGCAAAAATATTTGAGTACTGTTTGGATATTTTCTGATTCTGCCAAATTGAAATCGAAGAGGAGTTTAAGATGATTAGAGGTGAAGAAACGCTATTTTCAGATTTATCCTCTTGTTAAACGTGATCAGAAGTTTGACAAGAGGTGGTAGAAGCGGCCCTTACTCAAGTGATGGTTTTCCAAAGTGATTGCCGGAACTTACCCATAATCTATGTTAAAGAATTTTTCTCAGTGAAGCAAACATATTATTATTTTTTTATTTGAAGAGAAAATCACCAAGTATTTGTACTCAATGACTATGTATTTTGCCAGAGCAACAATCGAAAAAGTCATTTTGGCTGTGAAATTTGAATTTTTTATTACCATTTGGTTTAATTTTGAGGTACAAAGGCTGTCCCACAAGAACTGAGACTGGTGCTGCAACTTTTGAATTAAGGCAGTTAGAGAGATGGTCTTAGTTGCATTAGGAATAACAACTTACTTTGTATTGAATGACATCAAGTTCACTTTACTAGCTTACAAATTCGCAAAATTATGTAGGTTTTTTGAAAACTAAACTTGCTACCCCCTTCTATTATTAGCATGGATTTTTCCTCCCAAAGAAAGCTCCTCAAAAACAATTTTCTGAAACTGCACGGCTTTGGCGGTGAAATTTAAAATTTTTATCACTATTTGGTTTTATTTTGAGGAACAAAGGCTGTCCGACAAGAACTGAGACTGTTGAGACTTTAGCATGGCAACAAGAAAGGCAACTTGGGAACACTGTCTAAGTGTTGTCTGATTACAAACACAATCAAAACATCAAGATTTGAGTTGTCTCGGGTATGTCAAGACTTGCGCATTGAGTTTTGCTTGTTGGACTTTCATGAGCGCGCGCCTGTGGTTTTTGTGTGATAACTGATTGCCACCCAAGTTCAATTCTGTGTTTTGGTATGAAATAGACTAAAGAACTTGAAAAAGAACAACATTTGGAATACATTGCCAAAACACAGAATTAATTTTTCTTGAAAATCAGTGATCATACCACAACCACAAGCACTCGCTTGTGGAAGTCCAATAAGTAAAACTCAATGCGCAAGTTTTGGCATATTGCGAGACGACTAAAATCTCAATGTTTTGGTTGTGTCTGCATTCAGACAACATTTGGACAGTGTTTTGACGTCGTCTTTTATGTTGCCAAGCTAATACATGTCATATAGTCTCAGAAAATAGTGTTTGAGGAGCTTTCTCCAGGGAAAAAAATCCATGCTACAAATGATAGAGGTAACAAGTTTTTTTTTTTTTAAAAAAAAAAACCTTCATAATTTTGCAAATTTGTAAGCTAGTAAAATGAACTGGGCGTCATTCAATAGAAAATGAGTTGTTCTTTTCAACGCATCTAAGATCAACTCTCTAGCTGTCTTCAACAGCACCAAAGTTACAACACCAATCTCAGTTCTTGTGGGATAGCCTTTGTATGAATCACAGAGATTTTCTAGCTTTGCCATTCATGTATAAAAAATAAGAAATTATGAACTATGTTAACAAAAAGTAAAAATTAGCCATGGAACAAATTGGAGCATTACACCTATCATCACATTTTACTCAGTCTCCAGTCATTAAGAGAAGCTGATGGAAAAGGTGGCAATGCTTAAGCAAGGTATTCAAGTTTCGAGGAACTCATTGTATAACAGGCAATATAATGTCTACGAATTCTTTGAAAATTAACTGACCTTTAAATTTTATTTTTCTGACCTACATCCTTGAAGTCAAGTTTAAAAGCAAGTTGCTTATTTTGTGTAAAAAAGGAAAAAAATAATTGTGGACTTTTCATCAGAATCATATGGATGGTCAAAGTGAGTGACATCACATATCTCCAAAATTGAGGCTTTCGACATAATGATGCTATCTTGAAGTAGGAGTCACCGTGCGTTTACTCGTATGATTTCACTGCTGCGGCTCCTCCTAAAAAGCAGGCATTCTGGAGATACATGGTGTCACACTTTGGTCATCGCTACGCCCAAGACATGTACGAATACATATACATTGTACATGTACAAATACTTACATGTACATGTACAAAAATTGAAAAACATTTTTGCATGGGTGTACAGTTGAGGGGCTTGTCGGATAAATGGCATCAGTGCAATTTTTGCTATTTCAAGAAATATGTGTCCAAAGTTTCAAAATTACATGGAGCCTCATGGCGGAGAGAAATTTAAAACTCGCTTTTTGATGCTTAAAAACTGGATTTTAGTAGTGAACTTTTCACGGAATATATTTTAAGACTAGTTTCAGTCAGAATTATTAATAACTCAATTTTTTCAAAAGCTACACCAATCCCACTGGTCTTACGAGGCCCCTCAACTTCAGTTGCAGTTTTCTTACACATTTTTGTCATATTGACGGTGTAAGTCGGCAATCACATAACTTGGTTTGCGATTTCGCAGACTTCCTGTCATACTTTATTTTTTTTAAACAGAAAACTACTCAAGGGCAATTCTTCAAAACTGCCCTGATTTTTCCTCTCTGTGAAAAGAGAATTCTGCATAAACTTCACGGAATGATATCAACTTGTGCTCCTTTAAAAAAATAACAGAGGTGGAGATTTTCAGACATCACAAACGAGATATGTGATTGCAGACTTACGCTGTCGATATGCTCCCCAAGAAACAGCAAAAATTTGTCTTTGTATCTCTTTCAAAATTATGTAAAAGACGAAAGAGGAGTTTGCTTTTTTAAATTTTCAAATAAATATTTTTTTCTTTAAACTCATTCTTTAATCTATTCTTAACCATTCATTGTCAATTGTAATTTATTAGGCAAAGGTTTATCTTGTTTAACCAACTTGCAGCTGTGTGGATCACCCTATAGGGCTAGAAATCAAGCATTACAGTCATAGCAAATCTTTTCTCATCAAAATTTTGCATAGAACTCCTTACGTGTCAAGTCTGACGGGTATTCTATTGGTATCATTTCCTGAATATACCTTTTGTATGAGTATCTCAGTGCTTCCTGCTTCCCCCCTGTTCCCATTCCCATGTTCACATCTTTCAGTGATATTACAGATACTACGAATGGACGCAAGTATTCTGTGTCTGTGTGCTAGTTCCATATACTTCAGCGTTGCCAATCACTGCAAGGTAAAATCAGATTTTCTTAGTCAAAAACCAATCAAGTAATATGCCGGGGAAGAACTTCAGTTCACTGTTATCCTGAAGGTATCCTCGGGTTCGAAATACCTCAAAATTGTTGAGACCTATTTAGAGAGCCAGAAAAAATATTTTATTACAATGCATTCTGAAGTCAGTTTTGGGATTGATTTGACTGGAGGAGAATGGCTTTTTCGAGAGCAGGAAGTTTGAATTAAGAAGTACAAACCCGCTAATTTTTCATTCAAGAGTTGAATTTGGAAATTTTATCTCCATTTTTAACCCTATCTGGTGGCCCGAAACATTCAATATCCTTTCAAAATTGGAACCACAATGATCTTTAATGATCTCTGATCGCCAGAATTATGGGAAAATGAACAGACTGAGTGGACTATCACTAAAAATAAAATTTTGGGAGATGAATCTGTATCATTTGCAGCATTTAAACCGATTCATTTCCAGTTTGAGTATGTAAGGATTGAGAAGTTGGAGATATTTTCCTGGATTTGTGATTTTTGATATTTCTGAATAGAAATCTCAAGAGTGATTCAATGTCAATTTGGGGTAATTCTCTATTGAGATTTGGTGTAGTTCTGGGCTGCTTTTAAAGCAGTATAAACCCCTCTGGAATGTAAAGCTATGACATTTATTTCTTTTGATGAGCAACAAACAGAGCAATTGTCAGATGAAAATTTATTGTTCAAACTTTATAAATTGTTTCAAAACAATTGGAACTTTTAATTGCTCTAACTGACTGAAGAAACATTTGGGTTCATCGGCTGTAAGTTGATGCAAAAACTTTCTAACTGCATCACGAGCTAAAATTAAGAGCGATGGAACAGACTTTAGAGGCCAAGAGGGATGTTCAAGACTAAAACACGGAGAAATTTTCCATAAAAACATTGGGCCTAAAACCTCAAAGTGATCAATGTATAGATTGTGATGAGAACATTTTTGATACTCAGAAACACACTCCAGTAAGAGATAGGGCTCGACAATACAAGATTTCTTCAACAAGAAGAAAAGAATATCCCACACTCCAATCATCAGGGCAAATTTAAAAACATCTGGTAACTGTCTAGAAGCTGTCCTCTTGCAGCCATAGTTACAGTTGACTTCATGAAGGGTTTCAAAGCTTGTTCCACGGTAGTCCACATCAATCCCTGTATCTATCAACTTTTGAAGGATGCTTAATACATATCTAACATCCTGCAGTCTTCGTGTAGTCAGTGCAGCACACAATGGACTTAAAACAGGTGTTGGATCATCCCAGACAAAGTTGACATCATACTCCACTTCTAAAAAGGCATCTAGAAAATGTGGGCTCAGTCCAGATTGAACAATTTTTTTTACACACAAACTAAAAGGGGATACAAACACTGGATTTTTGTTGGGATCAACATAGGGGCAAGTTTTTACTTCTGTCGAGTAATTTGAGTTAAGGATCAATTTTAAACCCTCAAGACACTGTGCATCTACAGCAAGGCATGGTAAACTTCGATAGCATGAGCGACTGGATCGGAAATTTTGAACTCTGGTGCGGGTGCAATTGTCTTCGACTACATCAACAGAAGTTACACTCATCATTAGCTCTAATAGTTTTGGCTTATTGGCATGGGCTGCCAGGTGAATTGGTAGAACACGATCGGAATCATACAGGTTTGGATTTGCTCCATGATCAATTAGAAATTTGGCGACCTCATAGGATCCAGACTGAGTTGCAGACATAAGCGGGGTTATTTGCCAAACATCCCTTGAATTAATGTCACTGGTATGTTCGAATAAGAGAGAGACTAACCGGACATTTTGCCGCCCGCAAGCCATGTCAAAAGGAGTGCGTCCATGTCTTTCTTTGATTGTCATGCTAGCACCATTTGCTAAAAGCAAACCACATATTTCTAAGGACTCACAAGATACTGCTTCATGCAATGGTGTGTACTCATTGAAATCTTGAACATCAAGTAATGCTCCATGCGATATGAGCAAATTGGCTATTTTTGTGTTTCCAACTGCACAAGTGTAGTGCAATGGAGTTATACCCTCATTGTTTGAGATATTTGGATCACATCCAGCATTAAGTAACATTTGAACTGCAGTGAAGTTATTATTTTCACATGCAACCAGCAGAGGGGTTTCTCCTTCGTATGTTTTCTCATTCATTATATATTTAGCTTTGTTCAGGAGGTATAGCAGACACTTGGATCGGTCTGAGGAAATGGCAGCTATATGAAGGCAAGTATAACCTCGGTTATCAATATTTCGAAGATCTCTTCCTTTTGAAACTAGAGTTTTCACTGCTTTTAAATTCCCAGACCTCACGGCGGCATTGAGCTGTGGCTCATGCAAGGGTGTAATTCTGTCTGCGCTCATTATCTGTGGACAGAAAGGAGGAACATGAGAGAAAGCGAGAGTTATGAAGACTTAGATGAAGCTACTGCGTTTTCATTCAATAAACATAGTAATTCGTGAATACACTTTAAACCTTAGATCAAGGGTGCAGAAAATGTTAGAGTGAATTAAAAAATGTTTTGCAGCAAAAATGAGAGAAAAAACCAAAACAAAAAAGAACTCTGCTTAGAGAAACAACACAGAGAAAAATACCCTGTGGCAAAACATTTATGTTGTCATAATTCCACCATGTCATTGGGCAACTTATTACTTCAGATCTTCGGCACACTGATTCTTGGACACATGTGAGCCAAATGTCACTCTTTGAAAGAATGATCGGCATTGCATAAGTAACAATATCTATAAAGAAAAATCCAGAGATTTACCATCTAATTTTTTTCGACAATCATACCTAATGAGTGTACCATCAGAGTGCATTATCATGAAACTAAAACACGTCTTTCTCTCACCTGTTTGCTTGCGCTTCAAATGATGAAGGATAAAATGGAGATTGAGTCCGGTCACTAAATAGTACGAATTTACAAGAGAGGCATACTTCACTTAACTTGAGCTTGAGGTGATTTTACATTTTCTGTGAGGAAAGTAATACGCAGTGTTATCAGTCATGCATATTATCATTCATATTCATTCTCACCATAACAAAAAACTTCACTGTTATTATAGACGCGTTGTTAAAGTCAGAATTGCGACTTCTGAGTTATCCGCTGAGATGCTGAGCTCAGCGAAAGTGTTGTTAAACGTTTTCTGAGGTTATCCGCTGAGCTGCCAGTTTGTAAACAAAGGCCGCCATTTTCTCAGCAAAATTGGTCAGCGCTCA